AACACTACATTGGTAAGTTTTTATTAAGTTATATTATTCGGTAAAATGTTTTTTGACCTGCAAGTTGCAATAACTCGCGAATTAAGGGTGTCCTGTTTATTTTAATTGCGGGAAATATAGAAAACGAAGGAAAGGACAAAGTTTGCCCATTCTTGCATATTTCCAAACACGCGGTGGAAAACAGGTCATATCTCGGGAACCCTTTATCATATTTTAGTTTTTGCCTTATTTCATGATAGGACAAGAGTGCATTTTTAAAATGAACTCCTGAACCCCCGCAAAATTTGGTCGTAACACCCTCAAAATGGCCGCCAAAGTTCGCCCTTTGCTTGCAATTTTCAAAACATGCGGTGGAAAACTGGCCATATCTGGGGAACCCTTTGTCACATTTTAGTTTTTTCTTTTTTTTATGATAGGCAAAGAGTACATTTTTAAAATGCACCTCTAAACCCCCGAAAAATTTGGTCGTAACACCCTCAAAATGGCCGCCAAAGTTTGCTTTTTTCTTGCAATTTTTAAAACACGCGGTGGAAAACCGGCCATATCTCGGGAACCCTTTGTCACATTTTATTTTTTTTTATTTTATGATAGGGAAAGAGTGCATTTTTAAAACGCACCTCTGAACCCCCGCAAAATTTGGTTGTAACACCCTCAAAATGGCAACATTTGTTCCCTCTCTAGATACCCTACCACTTTTAGTCGCATTTTTACTGATTTTAGCATATTCTACAATCAGATTTTCATTTTAGTTAGCTTATCTTAAAGGGAATTTGCGTATATCAAAAATTTGAAATCCGTTCTTGTTGTTGCACCGACAAGTGCCGTTGGGAGGTAGCGGTAATAGTGATTCGTGTTCAGAGCACCGTACGATGGTAGCGCTAGAATTGATTCGTGTTCAGGGCACCGTACGAAGGTAGCGGTAGAAGTGACTCGTGTTCAGGGCACCGTACGAAGGTAGCGGTAGAAGTGACTCGTGTTCAGGACACCGTACGAAGGTAGCGGTAGAAGTGACTCGTGTTCAGGGCACCGTACGAAGGTAGCGGTACAAGTGACTCATGTTCAGGGCACCGTACGACGGTAGCGGTGACTCGTGGGCAGGGCACCATACGAGGATATCGGTAGAAGTGACTCGTGTTCGGGGCGCCGTTCGTAGGTAGTGGTAGTGAGTTGTATTCATAAAATATAAATTGTGCTATACGGAATGAAAAAAATACTGAGAAAAAGAGGTCGTCTTTTGTATCTTGTATCTTGTATTTTTTTGTTATGATTTTTTTTCACTTTCTTCTTTTCCGATTATAATACTTGCGATATTTATACTTTATAATATATAATAGCGAATATTTAAATTTGTCGCGATGTTGTGAACATCAATTATTTAATTAACTAACGTATACAGTAAATTGATACGAAGACAATTAGAAGACATTAAATTATTTATTTGTATTGGTAAATTACTTTCTGTTTTTCCTAATCCTTATTGAATCCCAAAACCATTATATTCCTTTCTTATGCCGAGAAATATTGAAAGTAAAATGAGGATTCGTGTGTGTGTGTGTGTTATTTCAATATTATGAAATTTTACTTTCGTCTTCTCCAGTACGTGTTTACTAGCGTAGTGGTAAACATGGTTGTTTATACGTGTATTTGACGGTTATTGTTTATAAACAACTATTTTATTATAAATAGAGCGACTGACGTGTGTATATATGACGTGTATTATCGCGACATACCTGCCTTATACCTGGCAACGCGCAGCGCACACGGCAGTCGTTTCACCGTGTGGTTCGCGAGCGCGTCTCACTACTAGCCACGCGTTTTCAGACTTCAATTATTCAATTAATCGTCGTATATTATTTTCGTCAACAGCAAAATATTCGTAACGAGCATGTGTGGCTGTTTTGTTTGATGAGTTGTGGCGGTTAGATTGTTCTTAAGTAAGAAATAAGTGTCTGTTAATTTCTGCAGGACTTTTCAGTTGATAAGATATAATCCTGGATGTATAATCTCTTCATCATTGCACTGGTAGGTGTGTAATTATTTTTTTTCGCGGAAAGATAAGACGGTTTATATTAAATTGATTATTCCATTTGAGGGATATTAATTTTGCAAATTACAAACACGTGGTAGCATTTTTATCTGAATTCATAGCCCTGTTTCCGAAATTAGCATGCATGATTTAATTATTACAAGCATTGTTATAAAAAATAATCTGAGGATTATTGAAATGTCAATATTCATGTGGTCGACCACGGTCACTTTGCCGTCGACCGTTTGCTCGTTCCTCTTTTCGCTGAACGTTTTTAATCGAATTACACTCCTTAGCATGATTAAATTTAAAAGTGTTTTGTTGATCTAATAAAATCTTGTAGGTTGAATAGTTTTTCGCTATCATAGTCTCCATATATCTTAATATTTACAATTGACTAGTTATTTTTTATCGTATTTACCTACTATCATCAAATGATAAATATATGTATACACAATATATAAAATGTAAGTGCTTTATTCTTCTAGCACCTTTTTTACTCACCTTTCCGATGATTTTTGGATAAAATCTTTGAATTCGTGTTTTATTCTGTGTTTGTATATTTGAATATGTTCTTTAATGTTTAGGTATTTGTCGGTGAACGATTTTAATTTTGTTAGTGTGTTTTCTATGGTATTGTGTTTGTGGTTGTGTTGTAAAATATGTTTTGCGTAGTGTGAGTTCTAATTTGAATGTTTCTATTAGTTTTTCCTATGTATATTTTCTTGCATGTGTTACATGTGATTTTGGTATATAATTTGCATCTTTCTATTAGTTTTTCCTATTTTCTTACATGTGTTTCATGTGACTCTGTATATGCCACTGTTTTTGTATATTTTGGTGTTGTGTTTGTTTGTAGTTTGTTGATTAGTTTGTTATTTGTGTATATGCGATTTTGTAATTTTTGAATATTTTTGTGATGTTATATGTATCTTTGTCTGTGTAATGGAATGTGAGGAATTTAGTGGGTGTGTTTGTATTATGTATGGTTAGGTTTGTGTTGTGTTTTGTTACGGATTTGTTGTGTTTTTGTTTTATGATTTTGTTATATATTTTGTTTATGTGTGTTTGTGTGTAACCGTTGTCTATTCTTATTTTGATTATTTTATTGTATTCATTGTTGTAATTTGTTTTGTTTAGTGGTGTTGTTTATTAATCGGTTGATATTAAACTGAAGTATGCGTTTTTGCGTTGTTGCGGGTGATTTGATGTGTCGCCCTGTTTTATTCTTGTAGCACCTTTTTTACTCAACTTTTCCGATGATTTTCGGGTAAAATCTTTGAATTTATGTTAAAATATAGATGTTTCCGTGCAAATTTCTCTCGTCATGATGTAAATATTGACCATATTGGTCGTTTTTTAAATTTTCCTTTTGTAAACCCCTGTATATTAGTTTTTCTAACAGTACGTCGTAAATTGCCTTTATTTGTGAGATTTGAGTGTTCTTTGTTTTAAACTGTGGATTTTCCTTCTGGACACCCTGTATATTCGCTTTTCTTTGTGTCCCTGAAAATTTTCCTTCAGTTGTGATTTTAGGGCCTTCTTTTTGCACTTTAATTTTTTTGTAACACCCTGTTTATTAGTTTCCCGGAGCATCGGGTGAATACGAACAATATTTGTAGTGTTTAGATGTTTTCCTTTATATTGTTTGAATTTTCTATTTGTGACACCTTGTATAATCGTTTTCCTTTACATCCCTGAAAATTTTGCTTTGACTGTTATTAGAATTTAACTTCTTGCACTTTGATTTTTTTGTAACGCCCTGTATATTTGTTTCCCACAGTAACGGTGAAAAACGAGGAATATTTGAGTGTTTGGATGTTTTGCTGTCAGCACTTAAATTTTTCTTTTGTAACAACCCGTATATTTGTTTCTATCTCCATCACTTAGAAAATGGGCAATTTGCTAATTTTTTTTATCTCAGTAGAACTTTTTTAAGTGGTACTTGCTAGATGTGCGTGGCTAAACAGGCCGTAAGTCCTGTTTCAATAAGGCGGCATTATTCTGTTGACTTGAAAAATCTAAACTTGTATTATATTACATTGTGTTTATTAATAAAGAAATGTTAAGAAATATTATGTCTTATGCGTTGAATGTACCCCTTCTATCATTTCAGGAAGAGTTCCCTCCCTCAGGGGATGATCCCCTCTATAAAAATTGTTAAGGTAACCTGTATGATTTGCGTACATCTTTCATTTCAGCCACAGGTCTTGTAAGAATATTTCTTAGTGTCCCCTATCTTGAGGCGACTTAAAACTTAGAAATTTTTTTACAAGTCCTTATATGTATTATCGTTATAAGGAGTTCCCTCTCTCTGGGGGTAATCCCCCACCATAAAAATTGTTGATATGCCTTATAATTCCGGGGATGAAGCGCAGAGACATCGTAGCTGTAGGATGGGCCGGGAGCAATGGACGCATCGAAGCAGTGGGTCGTAGACTGTCTAATGACACGCGCCAAAAAATTTAAAAATTCCGTCACCCCTATTCTCTTTTCTTCCTACTCTCCTCTCTTCTTGTTTTCTTTTTATTATTTCTCCTATTCTCTCTGGCTGCTCTCTCTACTTACTCCTTTTCCTTACTCCTCCACGACCTTCTTCTTCTATTTATTCCTATTGTTGCTTCCTCGTACTCTGCTTTGCAAGTTGTTTCTGATTTTTGAATCTTGAATTATTGTTGTATGCAACCCACATTTCTTAAATTTCTTATTATTTAATAAAATTGACTTCTATAACTGAGATTCGATCCATGAACCACCAGCACGCTAGCATATGCACATGCCACCTAAACCACAACGCTCACTTATCAAACTCTATTCGTTTCAGGTATAAATGTTGTTCTTTATCTCCGCATTTTAAAAACAACAACATTTATATATCACGTATACGCATTTCAAACACGGGTAGTCAAATATGATCTTTAAATCTAATTCTGAAAACGTTCATAGGAACACAGAGGATAACTGCTTCAAAAGATACTATTAAATTATATTTTATTTAAACTCATATAATCAAGACAATATATACACAAATTTAAATATGCTACATAAATTTAAGTACATGTGTTCAACGTTACTTAGTTACAAGTAACACTTACTTGTTTAATCTTCACAAACGGAACGGAAAAGATTTTACTGACTTCATTCCACACGGGAAACAATCATGGTATATTTCCACGATTAAATTATTTAATAAAGGCACAAAAATTTATAAATCCAGTAAGAATTCTTCGTATCGACGAGAGATATCCGACGGGCAACTGAAAACACGTGCATACATTGAAAAAACATCTTAATTTATACTTTCACGCGCGATAATTTATTAATTACACGTCGCATACATCTATCAATACTAAATTCTATCCGTTCTGACCGATATTAATTAAACTACCGACTTATAACCCCAAGAAACGTTAAAAATCGCCACGAGAACCAACCGACTTACAAAACATGTGCAAACTGCTACGCAACGCATGACCGAACATGCAATAATTCTATAGTAGGGGAGACTCCACCGCCGCAATACATTCTCAATGTAAGTTAACCTGTCTGCGATAATATTTACCTCTATACATAGACTTGTTGTGTATAATACACAACCGATTCAACAATGTTTTGAATCCAACGATTGTATGGTTATGTTTTCCTTTAATTTACATTTTCTCCCTGCAAGATGACGTGAAACATTTTATTCCTTATCATTGGGCGACCGCGCAAAAAACTCAAGTACTTCCTCACGACGGGCATCACGGACGGTCCGGAACCAATGGACGGACCGAAGTAGTGGGTGGTCGACCAGAGCGCCGGAGGGAGAGCAACCTGTAGACTATCTTATAGAACGACACACCAGCAAAAAAAATATTAAAAATCTGAGACACTCCTGTTTTGGGGGTGGCTTTCTCATCCTATTCTGTACTCCTACCACTTCTTCCTTATTCTTATTATTACCAACTTGTTCCTCTGAATTGTCGTCTTCTCGTACTTTGCTGTTTTTTGCTGGGGTTACTAAAACAGAGAAGAGAACAAAAGCAAGAATATTGCATAAACAATTATGAAATTCCGCTTACAAAATCGCATTAAAAGTTTCAAAACAAACGGTGAAAATCGCTTGGATCTATTAAGGAAAAACCATAGGTATTATCACATATGCATATTGAGACTATACGGATACTACTAGGTACATAGTATTTAGTACGGACAGTACTAAATATATGCAAATAAAATAAAATATAAAATTATATTACTTTCATTCGTGAATACGTAATCCATTGTATATTTTAAAATATTTATTTATAAAAATCTACGTGATTATTGGATTTACAATTTTATAGTTGAGTTAACATGTTTCGCCCTGAGGGCATCTTCATAAACTGTTAGTATTGTTACAAACGCCAATTGAAACCTTACAACCACGTGCCACAGTTCCAATTCTTTGCAATTAAATTATGTTGATATTATATTTATTATATTGTCACACGAATAGTACCTTCTAATATTCTTATAAATAAAAGAAAAATGAGCAAAATTTTGGCGGTCAGTTTGAGGCAGTTACGGCAGAACTTCGGAAAGCTTCAGGTGTGCATTCTAAAAATGCTCTCTTGCCCTATCATAAAATAGAAGAATAACAAAAATATGACATAGAGTTCCCGAAATATGGCCTGTTTTCCACCGCGTGTTTGGAAATATGCAAGAAAAGGGCAGACTTTGGCGGCTATTTTGAGGCAATTACAACCGAATTTTGCGGGAGTTAAGCGGTGCTGCATTTTAAAAATGCACCCCTGCCCTATCATAAAATAAAAAAAAAACTAACATATCACAAAGGTATCCCGAGCTATGGCTTGTTATCCACCGCGTGTTTGAAAATATGCAAGAAAAAGGCAAATTTTGGGGGCCCTTTTGAGGGTGTTACGACCAAATTTCGCGGGGGTTCACGGGTGCATTTTAAAAATGCATTCGTACCCTATCATAAAATAAAGAAAAAACTAAAATATGACAAAGGGTTCCCGAGATATGGCCTGTTTTCCACCGCGTGTTTTGAAAATTGCAAGAAAAGGTCTAACTTTAGCGGCCATTTTGAGCCTGTTACACCAAAATTTCGGGGTGCTTCAGGGGTGAAATTTAAATATGCATTCTTTCCCTATCATAAAATAAAGAAATAACTAAAATATGACAAAGGGTTCCCGAGATATTGCCTGTTTTCCACCGCGTGTTTGGAAATATGCAAGAAAAAGGCCAACTTTGGCGGCCATTTTGAGGGTGTTACGACCGAAATTCGCGGGGGTTCAGGGGTACATTTCAAAAATTCATTCTTTCCCTATCAAAAATAAAAGAAAAAATTCAAATATTAAAAAGGGTTCCCGAGATATGGCCTGTTTTCCACCACGTGTTTTTAAAATTGCAAGAAAAGGGCAAACTTTGGCGGCCATTTTGAAGGTGTGACGACCAAATTTCGCGGGGGTTCAGGGGTGCATTTTAAAAAAGCACTCATTCCCTCACATAAATTAAATAAAAAGTAAAAATATGACAAAGGGTTCCCGAGATATGGCTTGTTTTCCACCGCATGTTTTAAAAATTGCAAGAAATGGACGAACTTTGGCGGCCATTTTGAGTGTGTTTCGACCGAATTTCGCGGGGATACAGGGGTGCATTTTAAAAATGCACTCATTCCCTAACAGAAATTAAATAAAAGGCTAAAATACGACAAAGGGTTCCCGAGATATGGCCTGTTTTCCACCGCGTATTTGGAAATATGCAAGAAAAAGGCCAACTTTGGCGGCCATTTTACGGGTGTTACGACTGAAATTCGCGGGGGTTTAGGGGTGCATTTTAAAAATGCACTCATTCCCTAACAGAAATTAAATAAAAGGCTAAAATATGACAAAGAGTTCCCCAGATATGGCCTGTTTTCCACCGCGCGTTTTGAAAATTGCAAGAAAAGGGCGAACTTTGGCGGCCATTTTGAGGGTGTTACGACCAAATTTTGCGGGGGTTCAGGGGTTCATTTTAAAAATACACTCTTGTCCTATCATAAAATAAAGCAAAAACTAAAATATGACAAACGGTTCCCGAGATATGGCCTGTTTTCCACCGCATGTTTTGAAAATAGCAAGAAAAGGTCTAAATTTAGCGGCCATTTTGAGGGTGTTACGACCGAATTTTGCGAGGGCACAGGGGTGCATTTTAAAAATGCACTCTTTCCCAATCATAAAATAAAGAAAAAACAAAAATATTACAAAGGGTTCCCGAAATAAGGCCTGTTTTCCACCGCGCGTTTTGAAAATTGCAAGAAAAGGGCGAACTTTGGCGGCCATTTTGAGGGTGTTACGACCGAAATTCGCGGGGGTTCAGTGGTGCATTTTAAAAATGCACTCATTCCCTAACAGAAATTAAATAAAAGGCTAAAATATGATAAAGGGTTCCCGAGATATGGCCTGTTTTCCACCGCGTGTTTGGAAATATACAAGAAAAAGGCCAACTTTGGCGGTCATTTTAAGGGTGTTACAACCGAAATTGCGGGGTTCAGGGGTGCATTTTAAAAATGCACTCAATCCCTAACAGAAATTAAATAAAAAGCTAAAATTTGACAAAGGGTTCCCGAGCTATGGCTTGTTATCCACCGCGTGTTTGAAAATATGCAAGAAAGGGCAAACTTTGTCGTTTCCTTCGTTTTCAATATTACCCGCAATTAAAATAAACAATTCGCGAGTTATTGCAACTCGCAGGTCATAAAACATTTTCCCGAATAATATAACTTTAATAAAAACTAAACTTTCAATATTTCTCGGCATAAGAAAAGAATATAATGGTTTTGGGATGCAATAAGGATTAGGAAAAACAGAAATTTGTAATTTACCAATACAAATAAATAATTTAATGTTTTCTAATTGTCTTCGTATCAATTTACTGTATACGTTAGTTAATTAAATAATTGATGTTCACAACATCGCGACAAATTTAAATATTCGCTATTATATAAAGTATAAATATCGCAAGTATTATAATCGGAAAAGAAGAAAGTGAAAAAAAATCATAACAAAAAAATACAAGATACAAAATACGACCTCTTTTTCTCAGTATTTATATTTTATGAATACAACTCACTACCGCTACCTACGAACGGTGCCCCGAACACGAGTCACTTCTACCGATATCCTCGTATGGTGCCCTGCCCACGAGTCACCGCTACCGTCGTACGGTGCCCTGAACATGAGTCACTTGTACCGCTATCTTCGTACGGTGCCCTGAACACGAGTCACTTCTACCGCTACCTTCGTACGGTGCCCTGAACACGAGTCACTTCTACCGCTACCTTCGTACGGTGCCCTGAACACGAGTCACTTCTACCGCTACCTTCGTACGGTGCTCTGAAAACGAATCACTATTACCGCTACCTCCTAACGGCACTTGTCGGTGCAACGACAAGAACGGGTTTCAAATTTTTAATATACGCAAATTCCCTTTAAGATAAGCTAACTAAAATGAAAATCTGATTGTAGAATATGCTAAAATCAGGAAGGGGGGGGGAGAGGGGTGTTGCCATTTTGAGGGTGTTACAAACAAATTTTGGGGGGTTCAGAGGTGCATTTTAAAAATGCACTCTTTCCCTATCATAAAATAAAGAAAAAACTAAAATGTGACACAGGGTTCCGGAGATATGGCCAGTTTTCCACCGCGTGGAAAGAAAATGGCGAACTTTAGCGGCCATTTTGAGGGTGTTACGACCAAATTTTGCGGGGGTTCTGAGGTGCGTTTTAAAAATGCACTCTTTCCCTATCATAAAATAAAAAAAAAAAATGACAAAGGGTTCCCGAGATATGGCCTGTTTTCCACCGCGTGTTTTAAAAATTGCAAGAAAAAAGCAAACTTTGGCGGCCATTTTGAGGGTGTTACGACCAAATTTTTCGGGGGTTTAGAGGTGCATTTTAAAAATGTACTCTTTGCCTATCATAAAAAAAAGAAAAAACTAAAATGTGACAAAGGGTTCCCCAGATATGGCCAGTTTTACACCGCGTGTTTTAAAATTGCAAGAAAAAGCTAACTTTGGCGGCCATTTTGAGGGTGTTACGAGCAAACTTTGCGGGGTTCTGAGGTGCATTTTAAAATGCACTCTTTCCCTATCATAAAATAAAGAAAAACTAAAATATTACAAAGGGTTCTAGATATTGCCTGTTTTCCACAGCATGTTTTGAAAATTGCAAGCAAAGGGCGAACTTTGGCGGCCATTTTGAGGGTGTTACGACCAAATTTTGCGGGGTTCAGGAGTTCATTTTAAAATGCACTCTTGTCCTATCATGAAATAAGGCAAAACTAAAATATGATAAAGGGTTCCCGAGATATGACCTGTTTTCCACCGCGTGTTTTGAAATATGCAAGAAAGGGCAAACTTTGCCCTTTCCTTCGTTTTCTATATTTCCCACAATTAAAATAAACAGGACACCCTTAATTCGCGAGTTATTGCAACTTGCAGGTCAAAAAACATTTTACCGAATAATATAACTTAATAAAAACTTACCAATGTAGTGCTCATTGGATTGCTAGGGCACAGCAAGTACTGCAATTAAAAAAAAACATAAGTTAAAATATAAACATTGCATACACTAAAATATTATATTTATAAATCGGAGAAAACAAACATTCTGTGCTGAGTAGCGCAAGTCAGTTATAAGTTACTTACTCAAGTACGAAGGGATCACCTAATGACGGGAAACATCATGGCAACAATATGCATTTGGAATGTAAACATCAAACGCAAACATAAAAATTATGGATATTAAACGCGCAATTAATCATTAACAAAATACTGCAGGTGCATGTTACAACTAAATAGTCTATTGATGACCGACGAATACAATGCAAATGTAGAAAATAAGAGTCCGATGAAACGATACGAATCGCACGAAATACGTCTAGATACGCTAGCGACCGGCACGAAACTGGCTGCAATACATCGATAGCGCAAGCAACGATGCGACAGTTCCCAATAAGACAATGTGCCTGCAGCATGAACCTCTCAGGTAAAAGCAATAGATGCGCGAAGCGACCCGCCGATGACGCGCGACCATGTGCAATTGCAACTGGCATGTTACCTGCGATCACAACTATGACATGTCAACGCGCGGCATGAGGGGATGGTAACGCGACACACGGGTATCCGATAAGTAGGTAAGTGTAAATTGTGTTCAAAGCAAACACAATTCTCGTATCGAGTGCCAACGTTTGCTGATAAATATGGAAATAATTGTAGAAATGTATTCTATTCTATTTGAATGAATGCTGCTGCAGATAGTAGTCCCGCAATTAAGATTATTAAACCTAATCAAATATTAAAATTCGAGTTGGGTAATTCTAATTTCTCAGGGTGAAAGATTTTCGTGGGGTAAAAAGGCAAAAAAAACGTGGCTAAAAGTGCTAAAAAGTGCAATTTTTCATCCAATTTTTTAATTGCGAATATCTTGTAAACTAAAAGCGGTAGAAAAGAACGGATTGAAAAATATTTAATCTACGAGAAATTCTTTATAAGACAAAGTATTAAAATATTACAAGCAAAGCAAACAAGGTCGCAACAATTCATGATAAGACTACCTACGCGATTTGCAATAGACACGATATGCGATACGATCTAAACTAAACTAGAATATGCTGCATGCAAGTTGATGCCGCGAGAGAAGACGGCGTGCGGGACGCATGAGATAAAAAGTTGTTTATATCGAATAGCTGGCTGATAACAGCACTGCACACAAAATTTTTCTCGTGGCCACGTTTGTCCATAAATATAAAAATAAGTCGTATAACTCGATTTTATGATTTTTAGTACATCCTAGTGCCATCTATGAATGCTACAGATAGTAGTCCCGGAATTTAGATTACAAAACTTAATAAAACAATAGAGTTCAAATCATGAAGTTATTATTTCATATGCTAAAAGATTGACGAATTTTACATCAAATATTTAAGTGATATTTAATTTGAACATGTATTGCTATACTATTTAGGTTTATATTTAAGCCATGAAGAATTCCAACTGAATTCTAAATACAATTTATACTAAAATAAGACTCGTACGTTTCTTGCAACTTCCGTAGAAAAATTATAAATTACGCCTGAAAGTTTTCTGCTGAAAATTATTATCACATTCGACCAAATTACGGGTAAACAATGAGTCCAACAGTAAAATTTTACTAAAATAAAATTATCTGAAGAACGGTTTATAGCAACATCCGAAATAAAAACTCTTTTACAAATTTAATTTTTCTGTGAAAAATGTGTGTTTACATTTTATCAAATTGCGGGAAAACTATTAGTACAAGAGTAAAATTTTACTAAAATAAACTGCACAGAAGGAATTTTTATGTCAACATTCAAATTAAATATTTCAAATTTTCAAATTTAATTTTTCTCCGGAAAATTTAAGTTCACATTTAGTCAAATTACGGAAAAGCTATGAGTCCTAGAGTAAAATTTTACTATGATAAAGTGTTCAGACCGACGTTTTGCTCTGAACATCCGTAATATAAAAGTTTGAATATCCATTTTCAAATTTTCTGCGGAATGCTTGACCGAAATTTCCGCAAAAAGAAGTTTAATATATCCATTCTCAAAGTGCAGGAAAACCGTAAAACCGAAAAATTGATACAATAAACGATGAAAAATTCACTCACCAGTGAATTGAACACCGTAAATTTCAAATAAACAAGAAACAAAACATTAGTTATACAATTTCGGACAATGTTCAAATGAATGCGAGTTCCGGAGGAACCCAAACTTTGCCTTAAAAATCGTCTTATTTACCATAATTATTTAAATAATAATATTTACCAGGTAGAACAGGCGCCCGTCGTGTTCGGCTGAAGACAAAATTGGTTCGCACAACTCCAAAATATTATTTCCAATCACACAACATGGCCGACTGGCGTCCGACGGCAACCGATCCCAGATATACGCGAAACTGTAGTAAACACACAAAACATTGAATTCCGGAGGTTACACACGTGATAAATATTAAGCGACTAAAACCCGTCAATTAACACTAAATTCCAGCAAATATAACGAGATAGAACGAATTTACAACACGAAACACGAATATCCATTTAAATATTATTACTTATCGCACGAAGCAAGAGTTGCGTGCCGGCTACACAACAACTAGGCACGCCGACTTTCACTCGCAGGTATATTTTTAGATAAAAACATGCATCATTGCGCCATCTGAGATCACTTTTGAGTACCTCAAGAAAATACAAAGTGTATCAAAAAGTTTGGCATGCATATGAGGCAGTGAGTGATTGCCTATGTGTCAGTGTATGGTCACACACTTAAATGGCAGTGCCCGTGTGTCACACGTACACGCAACTGCGCATGCACCACCCTACCTAAACGAATAGCAATTTTTACACATAACTCACAGCTTCAAATGCAGTTGTCGCTATAATGTATTAATTCAAAATAAATGAAGTAAATTCTGCAATTTTAATGCAAATATTCATCAATCTGCCAATAAATAAACATTATACACTGCATAAATAGTCAATTTCTTTTTGTACTACTTGGCTGATAGGTTCTATAAGCGGTATTGTTAAATTCCTTCAATTGTTATGCAAAAAGCAAAATTTAAACTTTTATTATTGATGCTCATAAAAAAACGTTATTTGGAATCAAATACCTTGAAATCAAGTTTAAAATTGCAATTGTTAATACCTCACAACCTTGAATACACGGATAGATTCAAGCAATTTCGTATATAGCAAATCGATTCAATCATAGACGTATTAGCGACTAATATAAGCGAACGAAACACTTTTAATTATTCATTCAATAATTGCTATTTTGCGGATCAACACTTGGATCAATACAATGAAAAGCCATCGTTCTACATTTGCTTCAATCCTGTTGGGGTTCCTTCTACTAAAATTTTCTACAATCAACTGTAAGTAGTGTAAACATCGAAAATTTAAAATAGGTAAAAATGCTTATTTAAACATTAATGTAACTGGAAATTGTAGTAATAATCTGCTGTAAATAAAACAAATGTGTTTTATGCGTCATGTACAATTTTGAAATGATTTCAGTCAAGAGTAGACACAAGTAGACAGTTTTATGACAATTCATATCATTCATAACATAATCGTGTTTAAATACCCGCAATCAAGCGAAATTTTAGTGCTCAACACCGGGAGTGTATGTGAACATTTGTGGAATAAATAAAGCAAGGTATTTATTATTGTTATTAGTATTATTATTATTCAACGAAGCGTAAATTTACTCTAAAACGCAGAAATACAAGTCGCGACAAATAAAATTCATTATGAATATAACCTCAAAACAATAGGATACTGATATTGTTTTTAATTAGAACTTATCTTCAAGTCGTTCTTGTGGATAATCGATTATAATGTTTAGAACTGAGTGTCTGACACTTATAATAGACATGGTAATATATTTACTTGACATTTTATTTGTCAAGTATAACATAAAACATTAACAGATTATCAAGCTAAAGTGTGAAATTTATTGTGTGATTATAATATAAAATGTGTTCAAAAATTGGTAAACTGCTCAAATGGACCTGCAAACCACTCATATATCCAACTTCCAAGACGTAAGTGCGTCATAAATTATTATTAAATTATAATTTAATATATTATATTCTAGGTTTTCAAAACATCCTCCAAATCTATGTGATAGCACAATTAGTTCAGGTTTGAATATTGTCACATCAAGAATAATAACTCTTGTTGGAAACAGGTATATGTAATATTAAGAGTCTATTTGAAAAATTGACTAAAATATTGATTAATTCTAGTGATAATAGAAGACGATATAATACAGCAACTTACGAAAATGTTCGCGATGCAGGCAAAGCCAATAATGTTTGGATTATTGACGTTCGAGACCGGAGAGATATTTCAAGGACTGGAGCAATCAAAAATGCTATTAATATCCCATGTAAGATATAATCATGTAAATTTAAAACGCATTAGTATAATATGTATTTTGTAGTGAAAGAATTAGAGGCCGCTTTTCAATTCACACCCGAATATTTCTTCAATCGATATGGGGCGAGTAAACCCTACTTTGATTCGTCCATCATTTTCAGTTGTAGATCTGGAAAGCTTAGTAAGGTTGCGTATGAACTAGCTGAATCAATGGGTTATAAAAAGTATGAAACATGTTCTAAATTATGATAATAGTGATGGTTAATCAATATGTTGACATTTTTAGTTTGAAGAACTTCGAAGGAGGTTATTTACTATATGAACAACTCTGTGATTTTAACTAATGTATATTTACTAGAACTAGAGAATGTTGTAACGAGATATATTTTTCAAATAAATTTCCTATATTTTATTATTTTGCTTTCGTCAACAAACAATTTGTTTTACTGAAGAATATATGAAGTTATTGGAATTAATTGGAATTATTTTATTTTCAGGTGCAAATATGGTTACTATCGCCACATTCGAGGAGGTGAAGAATATCAAACCCGATGTGTACCTCATCGATGTGCGTGAACGGAACGAGTTGGAAGAAACTGGCACTATTCCTCACAGCATCAACATTCCATGTAAAATAAACTTGATTCAGTCGTTATATTTATATTTATACTAATGAAATATGAATCTTGTTATTAGTGGTTGAACTAGCAGTAACAATTGGATTGGATGCTGCTGCTTTTAAATCCAAATTTGGTCAAGCTAAGCCAACCCTTGACAGCAAAATCATCCTCACCTGTAGATCTGGGGCGCGTGCAGAGAAGGCTGCTATTCAGTTAAAAGAATTGGGATATAAAAAGTAATTTCTTTACAAATTGAAGTGCACTGTTTATAATGATTTTTATTTCTAGTGTGGCTTACTACAAAGGCAGTTGGAATGAATGGTCTCAGAAAACTGGAAAGGGTTGTTCTATGGAGAACAAACGTGAATGCGATTGAATTTTACACAATGCATACCCATACAAATAATTATACAATCAACAATATCGAATATTTTGTATTTTAAACAGTGAAATAGATTTATATGCATGTTTGAAAACTACAAAGCATGTATTTTATTGCTCAATAATACTAATATAGGAATTGAACGTTAATACTATACCACTAAATTGAAATATTACTATTTATTGATGAAATAAAAAGTTCTGATTATGTAAGTATATTCCAAAATAACATTTCTGTTATTTGTTCATTATTTTGCATACAGATAGAGCTAGCAGTACCGATTGATTGTTTAATGATAAAATCTTCATGAAGTAAGTTTATTCCCAAGCTTGCGCAAGAACTTGACTTCCTATCACATAAACGTCAAATCCAACGATCAAATACAAGCGCTGCATTACTTCAACTTGAAAATAAAACCAGAGAAGATTATAGCGTGTGATTGTTTATTAGTTGAAGTGTAAATGGAAAGAAAAGCAATGTGAAAGTCAAAATGGCACTGACTAAATTATACATTAATCTGTTGTCAATATCAAACCAACCCATAACTGAAAATTTAATTTGATTATCCACAAATTGTCTTTGAAATTGTTCAAGTTCTTTGATTTCTTCTTTGTACAAGTCATTAGTTTTCCTTGTTTTCATATAATTTAGTTGTTTAAGAACGTGTTGCTCAAACATTTTATTCTAAAATAGAAAAAATTTATTTAATTTTAAAAAATTGTTAATTTAATATTTGCCATATTTATAGTCGTTTGACAATTATAGCAAATCAACCAACAAATTGTAATCGGAACGAAGCTCGGCAAACTGTTTGCAAGATTAAGCCATGAAAACTCCAAACGTGCTTCAAAGATCAATAATGAAACGTAAACCATAATTTGACATACATTAAACAGGCAGATGAAACTGTAGACAAATGTTGCAAAAATCAACCAGTTGAAAAATTTATGAATGAGTTCCGCAGAACTACACAAATCAAAGTGTAATATTTTAATCATCTTTAGCACATGAAAACTTTTTAAGTTATTTTGATTTGTGTTTAAAATGTCACATAAGATATCCAATCGTTTACTTATAACATTAACAAACGCTTTATAGTGATGCACAAGTGGCAAAATAGCAATTTGTTTTAAATCAATCTTCATCATGAAACCGAGTTCCTCCATTGCTCCTAAACTGAATTTTTCTCTTCGTGAGTATTCCATAAGAAAAATTGTCATCAGAGATAGACAAGTGATTACGGTATGAAGAAGATATACAAATAAAGATGAAAATGCAAAAATTCTATATTTAAAAAGAGTATTTTTGTTTTCAATAGCATCACCTTCCATTTTTGTTAATTTGTAGACTTCATCATCAAAATTTGTAAAATAATCCACAATATCAATATATTTTCTTCTAGAGTGCAGAGCGCTGGTATGAACCACAATCATAAATATATACTGTGGTAAATTTATAATCAAAAATGTATAGATTTGTTCTTTTCTATACACAAACCCAATATATAAATTTATGCATACAAAAACTATATTAAATAGCAAACATAGCAATTGTAAAACAAAAATTAATTTAAACGTTGATATGATTATTTTTTTATTTTTAGTTTTCACCAATTTCAATGGCAAACAAAGTGCTATCTGATTACAGAGAAAAATTGGTTTTAAACTATCAACAAAATTTAATGTAGACATCTTGAAAGTGACCATTGGAATCAACAACAACAGAAGTATTACATTTGTAAATAAAAAGTAATTTATGTAATTGTTGTTGTTTAATTATTCAGAAAACTGTATTAAAATAATTAAATACGTTGATATACCGCCGATAACAGCAAATATAAGCGTGAAATTTAATACAAAAAAATCACCAGCTGTAAATTTCACATTTTCATTAAATATTTGATGTGTGAATATTTTAATTTCTTGATTTATTGCATTATCCATCGTATTTATAACACAAAGCAATTTTCCACATTTTCCTGCCTAAAAATTGAAAATTTTTACTTTTAAATTTAAAAATTTAAAATTTAAATTTTAAAAATTACTTGATATTCTGTCTCTGCACATCTATAACATATCTCCCAAAACATCAACCCTGCCGGTGTCATATACCAAACAGATAATAGCATATTAGGCAGGATAGTTAAAAGATCCTGCGCATTTTGAAATGCATGCAACATCATAAACGTATTTCCTAAAAAATGCGTGAAGAAAACCGCAATGTTTAACATCAGCGCAACGCCAAACGCATCGTTAATCAATCGAGTGACTTCACATAATCGCAAATGATTATGACAGCTGCCACGTAATGTGAATAGTAATTCTTTACCACACTTTAATTTATTGCATTCTATGCGCATATTGATTTCTTCAAAACGCACCTGTAACATGTGCACGAAACAAGTAAAATTCAACGTGTAAACAATTGTTGAAAACATTGGCATCCATAGTAATACATAAAACTCAAATGGATATTCCATTCTATAAGGTTGTATAATATTAATAATAGGCTCAAATAGCATCATTAGAAACGCGCCGAATAACCAGATGAAATATGTTAAGATGTAATGTTTTGTTCTTTCGTAATATTTAATTGGCAGTTGACATTCATGATCTATTTCGTTGATAGTACGTAAAATTATATTATATTTGTTATTAGATATAGTACTAGTTATATACATAGCTGTAATAAAAATAGTTGTAATAAAATGAATCGCCAAAGTTATGACATTGTTTAAAAGGTTTGGCCATATTGCTGTGTAGAATATGGTGCTCCTGAAGTGACATGTGACGTGTAGAATAAACAAAAATAATTTACCAATCAAATGGAGTTTATAAACGTAATTGGTTTGTGTTTTTTGTGGATCTACGAAAAATATTAATGAGGTATTAGTGACGTAGATCAGGTTTTTTAGGGAGGTGTATAATTTTTGTGTTGACATTGTCACTTCAATTCAACATGACGATAAATGTCAATAAAGGTGATTAATGTTAAAAAGAGTTTTTCATTATTGAATTTTAAAAATAAAAGAACAAAACGTAATTAATACGTAATTAATTAAACAGTTTCATCAGTGGATGTTATTTGTTAACAATAGTTGTTCTTTATTTTTGTAAATATGTTGCCGTCTTTAAGTTCAACATGGCATATAAAGCTTTTAAACAATGTATTTTTATTAAATTTAACAACAAAACCATCGAAAACTTTAAAATCGATTATTTTGTTAGTTTTACATCATTTAATTATAATTTTGTGTTGTGTGGTGTTAATATACAATTATTTACATAGAATTGCTGAAATGTCTGAAATTTATGAAAAAAACTCGATAGAATTTCATCTGTATTTTGTGCAATCAACCATAAGATATGCTTTATCAATTGGGTTATGGTTAAATGGAATCTTCAATGTTTTTAAGTATAGAAAATTTGTTAAAAAATTAAATTGTTTTGATGCAATTTTAGAAAAAGGTAGAAATAATTTCAAAACTTCAAAATTTCAACGTACAAACTTTAATTTGTGGATGTACTTTGCCGGAGCTATTTGTATAATTATATCAGTGATAACATTTCGAATAATTTATGCTTATTTTAGAGTACAGCCTGTTCTTTATAATCTTCATAATCTTAATAATTTTAATAATCACGAAGAGTGGGGTTGGTCTAATGATTTATTTTTGTTTTTTGAATTTATAATTCATTATCTGGGAACTATATTAATGATACCAGTTATTTTATATATTCTTACCTTATTGATACTTTTAAGAGAAAGATTTCGATATATAAATCAACTTTTATGTTCTACTTGTGAAAAGGGCAAAGTTTTGCAACAATTTAAAAAAGTGCACAAATTATTTCACAAATTAGTAAATCTACGAGCTTTGTTCAATGATTATTATAGTTTTGACTTGTTTATAATTTATTGCCAAATATTTATTAAGCTCGCAACAAATTTCAATATGATCATATCATACATCTGGCAGTTATCAGCTTTAATTAATGTGGAGCCAATATATCTGAATGAAATACTGTTGAGTGTGGAAGAGTGTGTTGAATTTATATTATTTGCCTGTTTGGTTGCATATTACAGCCAGGAAATCACTAAAGAGGTTAGTATACGCTTCAATTTTCTATTGCGGCACATAATTTAATATTTTGACCATATTTTAATTCAACAACTAGGTTTTGCCTGCGACTTCGTCCTGGTAGTGTTTAATAAAAATGTAATTCGTTTTTACTCTCTTGTTCTAGACATAGTATATGTCAATTCTAACAATAAGATTCGCAATTTAAATTCGAAATTATGCATATAAAGAATTGCTAATAATGCACATCAGCGCGACATCTCGGAATCAATTATTTAATTATAACTATGATTGATGATCTCAATGCCAACTTTTATCCTATAGAAAAGCGATGTCTTTAGGGTTTTCCCGGCAATTATTCAAATTTTTCTTGCCGTAAAAACTATCCTTGGACTTTAACGAACATTTTAAAAAAAGAATTGGCCAATTTGGTCTAGACGTTGTTGAGTTATGCGCTTACCAACCAATTTTGCGATTCATTTTTATATTATAGATTTGCCCTTTGATAAAAAAAAGTTTTACTAAGTGATAGCTTCTTTTCAAATTGTAATGTCTCTAAGTTTTGTGTGTTTTTATGCTTCCAAGCTCTAAACCAAAAACATGTAAAATTTCTTTCTTGAAACTAAGTCATTATAAAAAAATGTGTATTATAAATTTATTTTATTGTCATTTCAGGTGAAAACCATTACAAAAAGTATACAAAACTATTCGAAATATGATGGGCCGTTAATACAAGAGGAAATAAATATGTTCTGCATGTTGGCCGGCAATGTTGATGTTGAATCTTCAGCTGCCGGGATGTTTAGGTTAAACAAAAAGTTTCTGTTCTCAATGTTGAGTGTTGTTGTCTCTTATACAATTATTTTTAATCAAAACGGGGTTTCTATCTAAGTGAATCATTAATGATGAGAATAAGTGTATTTTTTTTTCTACTTCCACCTGTAACGCGCCACTTTGTCCAATAAATAAATATATAATCAGAGTTATTCAATGTGCAAACAGTTTTTACTGTGATTTTCT